AGCTCTAGGAGTCTCAAGCAAGGACTGAGGTCAAACAGGCATAACTCTTCAATAACAACATCAACAGTCCCCAGCCCCCGCAGAGAGAGACTATAGCCCCATCATTGCAATGCTTCAGCTATTTTCCAATAAGATGATTTATCTGAAAAGCCCCAAGTATGACAGCTCACATAAGAAAAGCATGGCTAAGGATAAGAATGGAAGACTTGTCTAAAGGAATAAGCAACAGGTGAGTTAATCCTATTGAGTGCAACACACCAGCATTGTAAATAGGCTGAATAACCAGAAATACCATTAAAGCTGTTCTAGTCTGTCAGCTGGCTCTATCAATCAAAGACCAAGTGAGCAAAAAACCCCAAACAAATGTCTCCCTCACCTTGGAGGCTGAACCTTAAGAAGCTGTAAAACTCAGATCTAACTGGGGAAATCCTCAGCTAAATAATTTCTGAGAAATGGGGTCCATTTGACTAGCATCGCCACAGGAACAAGGGACCTGCAGCCTGAAGCAAACACACAGAATGAGCATTCTCAGTAGCCTTTCCTCCCCTTTTCCACATACAGAAGGACAGCGCTAATAAAGTGAAAGACAAAATAAGTTGATCTATCTGAACTTAGTGCTGCTCTGAGCTGGATGTCAGTCTGGAGGACCACCAGAGATCCCTTCAAAACTAAAATATTATACAAAAATGGTGCTTCATACTTACTCATCTGTTTTGTACTGCATTTTAGAAAAGCATGATCAAAATTTGACATTTTGTAAACCAACTCTTGGAAGGTACTTGCTCAGTTTTATAATAACATATGCTATTGAGGCCACTGATAACCTTGTCAAGATTTTTTTTTTCCCAGCTTTGAGACCCATATTCCAATCCCATGTTCCCTCACATTGGACTTTGATTTATGCTATTTTAAAAACAAGTTATTATACTTAAGAGATAAAAAGTAAAGGATATTTTAATCCTGTCTCTAATCTTGGTGTATAGACCTTCAAATACTTGGTTAAACTATTCTTGAAGCCATTAATGGAATGAACTGAATGTCATATGCTGTATGCCAGTAATATGTTCAGCACTGACTTCAGAAATTTGTTTAACTATTGTTGTAGGGGGGGGGAGTTCCAAATATGTGGAATAGATTTTTTTTTAAGACTATGTCTATTTTTATACGTCCATGGGCAGATGAGTGACATGCAAAATCGTAGTTCCATAATTTGAGTTACTTGGTACAGTTATGGACTATTCCCAGCCTTCTATATTTCAAAAGAAAATGGGTTTGGATGTACTAAATGCAAAATCAGAAGAGAGGTTGCTTCTATAATTTTCAAGGCTCTTCAGTTAAGATTTACTGATACATAATTAATTTGTACAGTGCTTTAATAAATAATTTGTCAACTTTAATTTGAAAAATTGGACGCAAAACATTTCACTGCTGAGACAGTCTGCTATTAAAACTGCTCTGTGATTTGCACTGAAACACATAGATAACAAAATTAAAGAACATCTAAAATCAGTCAAATATAAGACAATTTTATGTGTTAATCTCAGATATTCTGATCGTTTTTGGTGTTTTAAAGGGGCTGAACTTGACAACTTCTAGTTCTCCAGTAAACTGTCACTCAATTAGCAAGATTAATCTAGTAGAGCAAATGAGAACTAGTTGTCTGATGAAAATTTATTGGAAGAACGAAAGGACTATGTATTCCTAATACTGATAGATATGTTACCAGAGATTAAAATGTTAAATTTTTCAAAACTCATTAAAGTAATCCACAGTTCTACCAACCAGTGAAGAAGGTGCAATGAAGTCTTCCAGTGAAGCTACAAAACAGCTCTCTCTTTTGGGGAGCTCATCAAATCCTGAATGTTTGAGGCTGCTGCTTATACAGTGCAATTGTTCAGAAGCACATGATGTGTAAATACACACACAAGACCTGTAGAAAGTTGTATATTGATATTTTTCATATTATTAAGTTACGAGCTAGAAAAAGCTGCGAACACCTCCCTTTGTTTGTTTCCCTTTAGAAACATTTTTTAGCATAGGAAGAGATCCTGCGGATAACACACAACGCACCTGCGCAGCTCATGTTTCATTTCTGGAAAACAGGCTACTAGCTTAATTTACTATCTCTCTGCTTGGCTAGTCCTGTAGCTGTTCTAGCTCTCACATTTGTATTTTCTCTGGCCTCACTGTTCTTAAACTGGATTATTTTGTACATTTCATTCAGGTATCCCCAGTTAGCAACAACTTTCCCTATTCTGCTTTTGGCTTTTTGTGTTCCAACATTCTGTATACAGGTAAAGAGAAAAATTGTTCTTCAGGAGATATGCTTTCATCCCTTGCTCTTTCACAAGTCAATGAAGCCTTACTGGGAAGTAAAACTACTGCCTATTTATACTGCTGAGGTTTCATTCATATTTTGAGTTTTATAGGATACATTAATAATTTTTCCTTATATACATATGTAAGATCTCCACACCCTTAGCTTACTCAAATTCAAATAAAATTTGGAATGTAAATATTGTGCATTTTCATTACTTATGTAATCATTTCTGAAAAAGATATATTACTCAAAAGTTTTCATAAGACATTTTTCCCCAAAAGAAAGAAAAAAAAAAGATTTAAAAAAAGATAGAACAGCATTACTCACACCTGGAAAGTCTTTATTTCCGGACAACACAGCATCTTCAGACTCTGCACATATCTAATCTCTTCAGGTATCATGACAAAACATTTGCAGGACTGATGAAGTTCAGGGAGCTTTTATAGAAAATGTAACTCCCTGGGAATGTTTTTTTTTTTTTCTTGTTACTGTTTAAGCTTATGCACATCAATTTTTCTAGTTTGTGAAGAGGATAAAGCTTTTCAATCAACACCTTAATGTATTTATTTAATCGGAAGAGTAGAGATTACATCAGTTTATTTGGAAATTTAATGAAAAATTGATGTGTGAACAATTTATTATACACCTGTTTATAACATCCAGAGACAATTGCTAAGGATTCCAGTTGTATTCAGAAGTACATATACCATATGCCTCTAATGACTAATCATAACCCATCTGCTCCTTTTATTAGTCTCTCAAAACAAAGGAATTGGTGGGTTAGTGTTCTTGCTGGAGCCAAGAAAAGCCCAGAAATGCCTTCCATGTTTCACATCCTATTTTTAACTCTGCTCAGTTACTTAAACAGATTAAGTAACGGACACAGGATACTTGTCATGGACTGAAGTCTTGTAGACTACCCAGGCAATGCAGATAGCATATTTGGCTGTCCACTCTCACCACAACCTTCAGGTTATCTCTGGGGCATTCAACGTTCACTCCTCTGGCAGGAAGGCTGCTGCACCCTTAAACATACAAATTAACCAGCACACCTATGCACTGTATCTGATCAGGACCTCCCCATGTATGTTCGATACACCACAGTTTGTCCACACTGCAAACACCCGTGTCGCCTAGGAAAGAAACGCTGCCTAGCTCCACTTACTCAGCTGTCACAAAAGCGACTTCATAAACTGCAAGGCAACCAGCACTGGTGGAGAAGGAAGGCTGGAAAGTTGGGCAAAACCCATAGCCCCACTAGCAACCACAACAGGCAGTGCCCCTACCCCATATGCATTTAGCAATGATGATTCTCACTTGTGTGATTCGTAACAGTATTACATCAAGCATAGCACAGCAGAGGGGGGGGACACACCATCCCACAGCGCTGGATCTGCCCAGTCACCCTGCTGCCAGCACCTCTTCTCCTTAAGACAGAGTAGGAGCTAAGGCCATGTGCTCTGCATAGACCAATTTTAGCCTTGTTTTTATCCTAGGGTCTGTCACAGTTCCTGCTGAGCTGCCTGTTAAAAAGAGGAGAGGGAAGGACAGAGCATGGACAGGAGACAAAAAGTGCCTCTAGTGACAATTATGCCTGGAGGCAAGTGGTTATGAAACGAATCCCCTTCTTTATGGTGGTGTAGCTTTGGTGAAATATTTTAATACATGCAAACACAACACATCATGAGAATTGTACACATGCACATAAGAAACAATCGCTGCCTCATTGCATCTTATATTACATCTCTTAAAAAAAAAAATCTTTAAAGTGGAATATTTAAATAATTTAGGACAGGCCTGGGCTCCCTCGCTCTGCCACCCACCTCCCACCCACTTTCTGGCGCTGGCCGCAGCCCAGCCTGCGGGGGACGCGGGGCAGAGCAGAGGCCAGGAGCAGACTAAGTGACGGGGACGGACAGTGAAGGCCCGCGTGGCTGCGAGGCGAGGCG